TATCTGAAGAGTTTAATAAAATAAGCGAAAGTGCTAGTAATCGACAAATAATGTAGTTCTTTTTTCAAAAACTTTTATATTTTTGTGTGTATATATATATATATATATATATAGACACACACCCACACACACTGTAAGTAGAAGCTTCTGGTGATTTCAAAAAACGAGTGAGATTTCCGTGTCGTCAATTCCGTACAGTAAAATATTGGTACTCCGACGAGTACACGCACAAACTGTCTTGTAGTGGTCTTTCATGATTTGGTAATGCTAAACAACTTCCAAGCAATTTTAGGTGGTACAGACTTCAGCTCATCTTGCCTATAGTTGTGAGGCGGGCATTTTTTGGCAGATCTGTCAGGGGTACCCATCGTCATTCATAATTCCTGAACAGCTTCCAAGCAGTTTTAGGTATTTAGGTAGTACAGACTTCAGCTTATGTGGCCTTGTTGCAGGGGGTGACATTTTGGACGGTCTGTTATAGGTACCCCACCGAACAAACTGTCAGGCAGTGGTAATTCAGAATCCCTGTGGTGTTGCTGAACAACGCCCAAGCAATTGTAGATGTACAAATTTCAAATATTCTAGCCTAGTTGGGGGAGCGGGGTATTTTGGGCGTGTCTGTCAGGGGTAACCCACCACACAAACTGTCTGGCAGTAATCAGTTTTGATTCATGTTATGGTGCTGAACAACTCCGAAGCAGTTTAAGGTGGTATGAACTTCAGCTAATCTAGCCTAGTTTGGAGAAGGGCGGACAAATTTGGTGTGTCTGTTAGGGGTAACCCACAGCACAAACTGTTTGGCAGTGATTGATTATTCCTGATTCCTGTGGTGGTGCTGAACAACTCCAAAGCAGTTTTAGGTGGTACAGATTTCTGCTAATCTAGCCTAGCTATGGTCTGGCAATTACATAGAGAGAGAGAAATGGGATTTAACGTCCACTCGACACAAACATATGGTTTTATTTTTTATTTCAATAACTCGCTTGCGCGTAGGGGTCTTTAGCAGTGGGAGGAAACCGGAGGACCCGGAGAAAACCGACTCAATGACAGGCTTTATGATACATCGCGCACGTGCTAACCATTTGGCCATCCAACCCCCCTGGCAATTACATAACTCTGTCGGGGGTACCCCACCACTAGAAATGTCTTTCAGGGTGTTTTTGTAATACTTAAGATGTAAGGTACACTGCTGTATCACATTCATGTGGTACACTTTTGAACTAATCAAGCCCAAAATCCCAGCCTTCACAGCCACACCCACCACCAGATACTTGACAGACTTACATTCTCATGGTACCAGATCCAGATCTACTTGCATTGATACAATATAGGTGAAAATTGGGCTTCCGGTCTTTTGAAGCCAGTTACTCCCCGTTGCCGAAACCCCAGTTGCTTTCAGTTGCAAGGTCGACATAACGCCTCCCCCCATATACAGTCCCTTCTGCTACCTTTGTCGTACATTTTTGAGATTTTTATCTGTTCTTACCACATACTCCTCAGTGTTTCGTTTGATTATACCTAATCCCACTAAACACTGCTTTAACGAAGGCAAATTTCTGTTCGAAATTATGACTGGTTAATGATCCGATTAGCAACCAATAGCTAACTGGTTACAAAAGCATTACACTTAAAACAGAGCTCCAAATTGGACCAAATATGTTTACATAACTTTGCGTCATGACTCGCGAGTTTATTATGCCCAATTAATCAGTGCATAGCAGAATATTGCAGAAAACTAATTGAGTGAAAAACGAGGATATCAAATCGAAAACAATATAAACAATACTGTTTGGAGACGAACATACTTTCATCGTTTTTAATACGTGAAATCACTGTTTTAAGGAAGACCCAGATTAAACGAAGGGCTGTCCTGTTGCTGTACATGGGATAGATTTGATTGAACGGGAAGAATAGACAAACTCCCTCAAAAGCTTAAATATCAGAAGCCAATCCAGCAATGGCCAGAGAGGGATTTCTCGGGCCATTGCTTCAGGAATATGCTCTTACCATAGGTATTACAAAACCCCATTTCAATTCCAAAACCTGCCCATTTCATGGATGATTTTAATGTCAGTTGCATGTTTCTCAATGCTGCTACTTCAAAGGGATTTGCTGCAGTATTTGGTACCAGATGGTTTGCAGCGGAGTGGCTTGTTATCTTATCCCAAAGTATCGACAAATGAAATTGATTAGCTATGCTTAGTTTTAACGGGAAATGCTAATCATTGAACTCAGTCAAGACATTCACCTAATGAACATCAAGTTTATACATTCTATCTCAATTAAAAGCAGAGTTATGTTCCAAAGCCTTGACTAATCAAATTGCTTATTGCTACTTAGCCTAAGCAGAAAATTCTCATTATTGAACTTAAGTCAAGGTAATGATATAATGAATCTATACTCAGAGTTTCATCGCTCTCACCCAGTAAGAACCAAAGTTATCATGTTCCAAAGTCTCAACCAATCAAATTGCCTATCTCTGCTTAATGGAAAATGTGCCAAGTTAAAGTTTAATCACAGCCTGGGTAGACATATACAAAGAGCAACTCGTTGCACGCATCGTCTCCTAAAGTTTCTTTAAACAGCTTAATGTTATACACTTTGTGTTCTTTTGACTGCTTGTTTGGGTCAGAATGGAAGTAGATGATCTCATTGTCTGTTCTGGAGTAATGAAGGAGCAAGATCATCAAATCTGTGACAATTCAAACAACACTCAAGAGGTCAATACTGAGGAATAGGATGACACTCAAAACTGAATGCTCTGAAACTTATTCTATGATAGTGGACAGGTGAAGGTCATGAATTCAATTTCATAATGATTCAACAGCTAAGTGATATCATCCAGAGTTCTCTTAAGTTGTTCCTTGTCCCCAAAAACCTGGGGATAGACATCAAGATCATCAATTTTGAGTAAATAGTTATGGACTTGCGGTCATTTGGCGGTGTTGGCAGCCATTTTTGACATAACAGGCCAACGTAGGGATCATCAAATTTGAGTTGATAGTTACATAGTTATGATCATTAAGACGTTTCGGTGGGGTAAACTGTATTTTGACCTGACTACAAGGCATTCACCTAATAGACACCTTCACCAAGTTTGAACATTCTACCTCAGTTCGAAGGAGAGTTATTGTGTGCCAAATTTTCAACCAATGAGATTGAAGTCTTAATTTGCCTAAGCAGAAAATGCTCATAAGCAGATATTGATGTAATGAAACTAGACACAAAATTTCACCACTAGCTATCACTTAACTATACTGAGCGCCATGGAAAACACATCACTTTTTTTTCCCAAATATTTTATTACTAGGTGGTTTTGTATGTATAATATTATGCAATACTATGAACTATTGTTTCACACAATGCTCCCAAACGCAAAAAATATTGGCCCGTGTGCAAAAAAAAATTGCACGAGATGCACATGAAAAACCCAATATTCACGTGCGGCATTGTGTGTGAGCCCTTTAAAAGCATGTTTTCAACTTAATGTGCAGTACATGAACCGTGAAACGTCAATCTGTCTTAATTTGTTGTTGGACGTGTGAAGGAATCGAGCTACAGATGCCGAGACTTACTGAAAATCAACGGAATGAAGCCATGGGAATGTCCAGGGCTGGCATGTCTACACATGCTATTGCCAGACACTTCAATTGTCATCAGTCCACTATTGTTAGGTTGGTGGAACGTGTTCGAGTTACTGGATCAACACGTGACCGTCAACGTCCTGGTCCAGAGCGCGTTACAACCCAGGCTCAAGACCGCTTCATCCGGGTCACTCATCTGCGTGACAGATTCCGCCCAGCGACTCGAACAGGAGCAGCAGTCGTCGGAAGACAAGGACCATTAAGTGCCAACACCGTAAGACGCCGTCTAAGAGAAGTAGGACTCTGTGCACGACGATCTTATGTTGGAGCTATCCTCAGGGATCATCACCGTCAGCGGCGTTTGATATGGGCTCAAGGACACCAGACATGAAGAAGAGTCGCTTTCATCTTTATCACGCTGATGGCCGTCGACGTGTGTGGAGACGTCTTGTAGAACGTCTTGCAGACTGCTGCGTCTTCAAAACGAATCAATGGGGTGGGGAAGTGTAATGGTGTGGAAGTCTTCACATTTCATCACTTGACCGCCCTACACATTTGCAGGGGTCGCGTTAATGCTGTAGCCTACCGTGATGATGTCTTGCAACCAATTGTTGTTCCGATGTTTCGAGCGCACCCACAACTTCAGCACTTCCAAGAGGATAATGCACGTCCGCATACCGCCCGTTTTAGTATGGACTACCTGGCTGCTAACAAATTCAATGTCTTGGACTGGCCAGCCATGTCTACAGACATGGCACCGATTGAACATGTCTGGGATGAGATTGGACGCCATCTGTAACGGAGACCACAGATGCACACCATTGCTGCTTTAGAAGCTGCTCTTGTCCATGAATGGAACAATTTTCCCCAGGCCTTCTTTCAAACATTGTTAAATGTTACGCGACGTCGCTGCACAGCGTGCGTAAGAGCCCGTGGAGGACACACGCGCTACTGACATCTGTGTCATACTTTTGGTTTTGACCCCTTACACTTTGTACCGTTGATTACAGATTAAACATCCATAAGTGTACAAATGTGTTGTTATTGATGTGTTACCATTTGAATATTGTTCACAATAAGAAGCAAAATAAATAACATATGTTTACAGGATCATTTTGTTATACGAAAAACTAAGTGATGCGTTTTTCATGGCACTCAGTATATAATCAAAGCTGTCAAACTCCAAAGTCACGCCAATCAAATTGCATATTGCTCTACTTACCATAAGTAGAAAATGTTCATCTTTGAACTGATCAAGGCATTCATCTAATGAACACCTACACAAGGTTTAAACATTATACCTCAATTAGAAGAGAGTTATTGTGTTACAAAGCATAAACCAATCAAATTGCTTATCTATAATCTGGCATATTGTAGCGATTCTGTACGATGTCAGAAGTGACAGAGTTCACTGTATTGAAAATTTCATTCAAATTACTTTATTCAAATCAAAGTTATGAGTGTTGGAAGATGTATCCTAAATTGTTTATTATTGTAGCAATGGTACTGGACAAATGAGACTTTTTAATCAAGCAGGCGTTTAAATCCATTTAAATCTCTGCCATCTGATAGTCTAGAGAGTTGTTAACCTTGTTATGTTAATAAATGTCTAAACAAGCCAACAGTGAGGCTGATGTCCAAAAATAAATAGATGACACATATTTATTAATCGCACATTTATTTTTTTCAAAAGTATCGAGCAATCAAACTATACACTAAGTTTCAGCACTCTCCATCAGATAGAATCAAAGTTATCTTGTCCCAAAGCATCGACTAATGTAAATCATTGAACTCAGCCATGACATGACAGCAGAGAATATTCATTATCGAACTAAGTCAAGGTATTGATGTAATAAAGCTATACACCAAGTTTCATCAATCTCACTTAATTAGAACTAAAGTTATCGTGTCCCAAAGCATCAACCAATCAAATTGCTTATCTCTGCTTACCCTAAGCGGAAAATGCTCATCTTCGAACTCCATCAAGGCATTGACCTAATCAACACATACACCAAGTTTGAACATTCTAGCTCAATTAGGAAGAGAGTTATCGTGCCCCAAAGTATCAACCAATCAAATTGCTTATCTCTGCTTACCCTAAGCGGAAAATGCTCATCTTCGAACTCCATCAAGGCATTGACCTAATAAACACATACACCAAGTTTGAACATTCTAGCTCAATTAAAAGTTATCGTGTCCCAAAGCATCAACCAATCAAATTGCTTATCTCTGCTTACCCTAAGCGGAAAATGCTCATCTTCGAACTCCATCAAGGCATTGACCTAATCAACACATACACCAAGTTTGAACATTCTAGCCCAATTAGGAAGAGAGTTATCGTGTCCCAAAGCATCAACCAATCAAATTGCTTATCTCTGCTTACCCTAAGCGGAAAATGCTCATCTTCGAACTCCATCAAGGCATTGACCTAATAAACACATACACCAAGTTTGAACATTCTAGCTCAATTAGGAAGAGAGTTATTGTGTCCCAAAAAGTGTGACGGACAGACAGACGGACAGACAGACGGACAGACAGACAGACAGACAGACAGACAGACAGACAGACAGACAGACGGACGAACCCATTTTAATAGTCCCCTGCTTTCTTCGAAAGGCGGGGGACAATAATAGTTTATATAACATTTGAAGCCAAAAAAAAAAGACCTGCAATAGGCATTTTGCATCTTTACGCAGTTTAGGAAAGGACAGCGAGGCGTAACAACACAAGGCATTTGGATTGATGTTGTATAAATAACAGATATGTTTTGCTAACTATAAGCATTATAATTTACAAAATAAATACAATATAATCAATCATTCATTTTCGATGGCTGAAAGTAAAAGAAACTTCATAACTGTAGGCAGTGAATTACTTGCAAAAAAGGCTCAGCTGGATGAGGGGAAGAACTTGCAGTGTTGTCAAATCGGCCAATACACCCTGAAAGAAGTACAGAAACATATTTATTTAATGCACACATGCAAGGGAACATTCATCATCAGCAGCTATGTCTTTGGAGCCATCATTTGAATTAAATGAAATTAAATGGGGATTAACCTCATATTTTGCTGCACCAACTGGACAAATGAAGACAGTTTTTGAAGTATGAGCAATAATGTTATCAATACTATGCTTACATGCTGAACACTAACACTTTGTTGTACACCCATATATCAGATGGAAATATTTCAATGATTAACAAATTTACAAAGGTTCAAATAGCTACAAATTGCAATTTAAAAATGTGGAGATGGAATTGAATGAAGATAGTCAGGCAACCAGTTACCCACATAGCAGCGATGCCTAAGAAATGATAGCCATAGGCTGCAACCTATCCAAGGAAAACTTGAAACTTGGATGTTGACCAAAGTTCTTAAGGATGCCTTCAAGAAATCTGATCTCTATCATGTTCACAAGGTTGAACCAGCAATTGCCAGGCAAGATAAACCCATATTTTGCAAGAGATGGATAGAGAACAAGCTAAAAACAAAATCGATTTTTTGTGCAATCAGGGGCCATAATCCAGAAAGTTATGGTCTGCACAAATATAGAAAGGGACTGTGATCTTTGGGATATAAAGATATATTTTAAGTTTCATCAAAATTGGATAGAAATTGTAATCTCTAGAGGGTCCACAACCTTCGTATTACATACTTTTACACACTTTGCGTACAAAGAACGCCATTTTGTCTCGTTTCGATTTTCCCCTTCATTATGGTGGAATAGTGATATATGTGACTGGTGAAAGCCAAATGAGTCGGAAGTCGGTCATGCTCATTTAACACTACGATGTCAAATAGCTACTTGATCTTAAGTTTAAAAAAAAATTATTTTTTTGCGAAATCCGATGCTTTACTTGTCTATTATTGGAGTAATCCAGACAAATTTAAATATTTAATTAATTTAGTGTATAAATTGGGTGTTTTGTAAGTAGTGTCATTAAAATCAATGCTAAAAACAAAACTTTATTTCAACTTTGTGCATAACTTTTTTAATTTTCATCCAATCTTTACATTTTATATTTCATTGAAAAGCTTATAACATGTACTTTCTGAATATATGCATAACTCAAATATTATTTTTTACCCCAAATGGTGGTTCCCCCTTGTCAGTGATGCAGGACGGAGGGCCTGACAAGGACAGCTGTCTAGTCGTTCGGATGGGACGAAAAACCGAGGTCCCGTGTATACATTGGAATGCACGTAAAAGATCCCTTGACAGTTGGAATTCGATATAAGAGTAGGCCGTAGTGCCGCTGTCCAGGCAAAAATTTCCCCCATAGCACACTTTATGGCGTACGTCCAGTTCGGAGCAGAACAGTAGGACGTTAAACCCCATTTCATTTCATTTCATTACCCCAAATGACTCATTTGGCTCTCACCGGTCACATATTTAAACGTTTTTTAAAATCGGATTAAAAATTGTGACCTCTAGAGAATCTAGAAACTTAAAAAGCATGATTTTTCGTACTATCATGGCCATAATCCAGGAAGTTACGGTCTGATATGCGCAAATAGCGAAAGGAACTAAGATCTTAGGGACATAAACATATTATTTAAGTTCCATCAAAATCGGATAACAACTGTGACTTCTAGAGGGTCCACAATCTTGGTGTGACTACTTTTACATTATTTGCGTACAAGGAACCGCCATTTTGTTAGGCAGTTTTGGTTTGATTTTCACGTAATTGGAAAAAAATTGTGACCTTTAGAGGGTCCACAAGCTAAAAACGTGTTTTTTCGTACAATCAGGGGCCATAATCCAGGAAGATACATTTCGATATGCGCAAATATCAAAAGGAACGACATTTCAAGTTTCATCAAAATTGGATAAAAATTGTGTCCACAACCTTGGTATTACATACTTTCACACTATTTGCGTACAAGGAGTAGCCATCTTGTCTAGCAATTTCGGTTGGATTATTACGAAATTCGACCGCAAATTGAATACAAATTGTGACTTCTAGCTAGACTACAAGCTAAAAATGCGATTTCTCGAACAATCAGGGGCCATAATTCAGGAAGTTATGTTCAGATATGCGCGATTATCGAAAGGACCCAAGATCTTTGAGATAAAAGCATAAATTTAAAGTTTCATCAAAATCGGTAAAAATTGTGGCCTCAGGAGGGTCCAGAAACTTGATATACCATATTTTTACACTATTTGAGTACGAGGGGCGGCCATTTTGTCCGGCAGTTTTGGTCCGATTTTCATAACTCAACTCAAACTCAACCATCATCTGGGTGTAACAGTGATATATTCACATGTTTTTTTAAATCAGATAAAAATAAAAATTGAGACATCTAGAGCGACCACAAGCTATAAACATGATTTTTCGTACAATCAAGGGCCATAATTCAGGAATTTAGGATTTGATATGCACGAATATCATAAGGAACCAGGTTCTTTGGGTTATAAACATGCATTTTAAGTTTCAGCAAAATCAGATAAAAGTTGTGATGTAGAGTGTCCACAAGCTACAGAGGCCATAATCCGATACATGCCAGTATTGAAAGGAACCGATATCTTTGGGAGATAGTCTTATATTTCAAGCTTAGTCTAAATCAAATAAAAATTGTGACCTGTAGAGTGTCCACAAACAAATTGTGGACGGATAGACAGACAGACAATCAGACGAACCCATTTTAATAGACCCCTGCTTTCTTCGAAAGGCGGGGGACAACGGATCTATACTCAGAGTTTTATCACTCTCACTTAATTAAAACTAAAATTATCGTGCCCCCAAGCATCAACCAATCAGATTGCTTATCTCTGCTTATCATCGAACACCATCAAGGCATTTACGCCTACACCAACTACCTCAGTTAGAAGGAGAGTTATTATGTTCCAATGTCTCGACCAATCAAATTGCTTATCGCTCTGCTTTCCCTGAGCAGAAGATGCTCATTATCGAAATTAGTCATGGTATTGATATCACAAAACTATACACCAAGTGTCCTCATTCTCACTTAATTAGAACTAAAGTTATCGTGTCCCAAAGCATCAACCAATCAAATTGCTTATCTCTGCTTACCCTAAGCAGAAGATTCTCATCTTTGAACTCCATCAAGGCATTCACCTAATAAACACCTATGCCAAGTGTTATTGTGTTCCAATGTCTCGCCCAATCAAATTGCTTATCGCTCTGCTTACCCTTAGTCATGGTATTGATGTAATAAAACTATACACCAAATTTCATCACTCTCACTTAATTAGAACTAAAGTTATTGTGTCCCAAAGCATCAACCAATCTGCTTACCCCGAGCAGAAAATGCTCATCTTCAAACTCCATCAAAGCATTGACCTAATAAACACCTACACCAAGTTTGAACATTCTATAGATAATGTCAATAGAATATGCTGGAAATTTCAGTCAAATTGCTCGACTCTGAACCGTGATATTAGCTTTTGAATTTTAGGCCTAGCCTCGATCATCATTACTAAAGTCGGTACAATAAAAAAACATAGTCTCGATTATCCATTTTTGTTTCAGCGCATACTGATAAGGTAGATCTTTTAAGGATGAATGGAAATTTTCAGAAATAAAGATATTCATTAAAAACAAATACACTGTGTAATTTAATATTACTAAGTAATGGAAAAGTGGTTAACCAAGATGTTGAAAAAGCTTTCCAAATTGGGCTTCTGCAAAGCAGAGTAGAATATTGTAAATTGTAATATCATATGTATATTGTATGTATTTATGTAAAAAGAAAATACTGAAAAAATCTAATAGATATTTGTGACCGCGTATATCAAAGTGAGTCGAAATACGCAAAATCTAATTTTGGACTAGAGACAAAATAAGTGAAAATATTGATTTTGATCGAAATTGAGATTTTTACAAAAATGAGTCTATAAATATACTATCTATCGACACAAAAGATCAAAATAGCAATAAAAGATTTGAGAACACCTTTGTTTGAATGTTTTGTAAGAGTACCATATTCTTAAATCTGTCCTATTTGTTAAAATTCTCGGCGACATTAGTTATTTTTCTTCGCTCGCTGCGGGATGACCGGTCATTCCTCTTGCATAATAATTGGCATCATTGTAAAGCGGAGAATCTCTAGTTTACAAATATGATCAAATTTGTGTCGATGAATTGATTTTAAACGGATACAACTCGTTTGCTGATTGGTCCAGACACTGAGTGAAAAGCATTATATTTATGTGGCTGACTCGAGTGGGCGATAAATATTTGGTTTTGGCAATAATGTTTTTGGGTACCTACATGCGATTCACTCTCATAAATGGCAGAAAAAAATTAATTCTGATCGTATATAGATTACCGTTGAGTGTTAATCCAAACCACGTGGCTGATTATGTAAATTAATCGACATGCGGGTGGGTGTCATTGAGTAATACTAATCAACTGTCATGGGTCAATGATAAAGCCGTCGACAACTCCATATTTACTCTGAATAATTAATCCAAGCAGTGATTATCTGATAACTCCTATCATCTTTCAAAAAAAATAATTTAGAGGCCTTAAATGGAAATAAAACCAGCGGCTGCCAGGCAGGATACGCCCACATTTTCGAGAGATGGATAGAGAACAAGCTAACAAGAAAGTGATTTTTCCTACAATCAAGGGCCATAATTCAGGAAGTTACGGTCCGATATGCGCGAATATCGACAGGAACTGAGATCTTTGGGTTATAAACTTACATTTCAAGTTTCAACAAAATCGGATAAAAATTGTGACCTCTATAGTGTCCAGAACCTTGATATACCATATTTTTACGCTATTTGAGAACGAACAGCGGGCATTTTGTCTGTCAATTTTGGGCCGATTTTCACGAAATTCGAACTCAGCCGTCCTTAGGGTGTAACGGTGATATAATTGAACGTTTTTTTAAATAGGATAAAAATTATGACCTCTATAGGGTCCACAAGCTAAAAACACGATTTTTGGTACAATCAGGGGCCATAATTCAAGAAGTTACGGTCCGATGTGCACGAATATCGAAAGGAACCAAGATCTTTGGATTATCAACTTAGATTTCAAGTTTCAACAAAATTGGATAAAAATTGCGATCTCTATAGTGTCCACAACATTGATATACCATATTTTTACGCTATTTGAGAACGAACGGCGGCCATTTTGTCTGTCAATTTCGGGCCGATTTTCACGAAATTCGAACTCAGCCATCCTTAGGGTGTAACGGTGATATAATTGAATGTTTTTTTAAATCGGATAAAAATTATGACCTCTATAGGGTCCACAAGCTAAAAACATGATTTTTGGTACAATCAGGGGCCATAATTCAGGAAGTTACGGTCTGATATGCGCAAATATCGAAAGGAACCGAGATCTTTGGATTATCAACTTAGATTTCAAGTTTCAACAAAATCGGATAAAAATTGTCACCTCTATAGTGTCCACAAGCTAAAAACGTGATTTTTTGTACAAACAGGGGCCATAATCCATGAAGTTTCGATCCGATACATGCCAATATCGAAAGGAACCGAGATCTTTTGGAGATAAACCTATATTTCAAGTTTCGTCAAAATCGGATAAGAATTGTGACCTGTAGAGTGTCCACAAACAAATTGTGGACGGACGGACAGGGCGACGGCATAATACGTCCACATGAAAATGTGGGCGTATAAAAAATGGCCAATAATTTTCTTTTCGAAGAGAATTTTATTGATAGATGAATTCTCTTTACTGTCGCTTCTTCATACAGCATGCAAAGTAAGGAATGCATCTTGGATATTATTGTTTAAAATTCTCTTATCACCATGGGTCGAAAAAATGAGAATTACCAAAGAGCCGAATTGCGACGATTCTCGAGTCTGCCATTGTTTAATTACATCAAAGCCAGAATGCACGAAAGTGAACCTAAGTATTTCTTGACTATGAAATTGACATTTCTATAGGGACTCATATTTTTATACCGTTACGGTACCTGAAAATAATAATAGACCTATCATACACGCAAAATCTTATTTTAATTCATGTGTTACATGAGCACGCGTACACTGGGGTGCTTATTAATTGATGAGATTAACTGTTAATCTCACCAACGTTATAATATACAAAACAGACTACTAATATATAGATTATTCTTCAGTATAATTAACACTATCATGTGAATATGCTGCATGTGTTATGGATGTTTCGTCACGAAAGGAGAGAGAGAGAGAGAAATGGGGTTTAACGTCCACTCGTCACAAACTAGGTCATTTCGGGACTAACATATGGTTTAACTTTATTTACATAATTCGCTTGCGCGTAGGGGTCTTTAGCAGTGGGAGGAAACCGGAGGCCCCGGCGAAAACCCACGAGGTTGGACAGGCGACCCTACTCCTTGCCACGTACAAGCGGGGATTCGAAACCACGCCAGTCGACTCAATGACAGACTTTATGATACAGCGCGCGCACGCTAACCATTCAGCCATCCAACCCCCCGTCACGAAAGGAGTGCATTTACTACAATTTTCGTCGTCAGCACCCTTGAAATCCTAAATAAAAAAAATATTAAACGACAAAATAGCAAATAAATGGCGGATCAAATTTTAACTACGATTTTCGTCTTCAGCACCCCTGAAAACCCATGGGAAGATATATTCAACGACAAAACAGCAAATACATGGCCTGGTTGCTGTGGGATTTTGTTTTGGAACATACCAAATCCTTGATTTGCTTTTTCTCAAAACTTACTTTTGTGAGTTGGGTAGCTTCGAATGGACAGAGCTCAGTCAATTTTTGCCCGTTTCAAACAAACTATACATCAAATTGAAGGTAATAAGTTGGAGAATGTAAAAATAACAATTACTCAATTTTTAAAATTTCCTCACTACGACTCAATATGCCATGGGGGGGGGGGGGGTCACATTTGTTCTTTATTTTGGCAGAGAAAATATATGGCTAAAATATTAAAATAAATTTGGCGGAAAAAAATTAAATATAATAAACGATAATTGCTGAAATTCAATAGGCTACATCATGTCACTAACTTAAATGATGCATATAGATATCATACAGATCGGTTGACAACTTTTGCCATTACAGCATTCACAAGATTCAACAAAATGAAAAAAGCGGCATAACTCTAGACGTAATTAACAGAAATTGCTGAAATTCAACAGGCTTTATCGTTCACTAATTTAAATGGTGCATATCAATTTCATACAGATCGTATGATAATTTTTGTCATTAGAGCATTCACAAGGTTCAATAAAGTGCAACAAGGGTCATAACTCCAGAAGAAATATACCGAAATTGCTGAATTCAACAGGATTCTTCATTTTACCAAATTTAAACAATGCATATAAATTTGATACAGATCTGATGATAAATATAGTCTGTAGAGTGTACACAAGAAATTATGGACCATGTACCAATGGAAAGACAGATGGACGGAGGCAACAGCAATGTGGACGTATAAAAATGAATTAAATCATTGGCAATAAGATTAACAGTTACGTTTTTATAATTACATATACAACTTTTTAAATATAGTTTATAACTCTTGCCTCATTTATCATTTAATAAACTATACCAAAAAGAACAAACAAAATCACTCTCAGTAAAATCAACAGTTATAAACTGTAATAAAAAAAAAATGAGGTGGCTGGCAGTTGTCCTCGCCAGCAATTGTCCAACTGGCAGTTGTGATTTATATTTCATGTCTGTGATTAATATCCGACTATCATAAAAAAAATGGCCAATTAAAAACTAACATATAATGAGTTATATGTTCTTTGAGAAAATATTCAGATAGCCTAAATTATCTGCTAGCTATTATGTACAATACAAAAACAGGGTAAGTGATATTATCAATTCTTTCCAAAGACAGAACACTTTATCAGAATTTTAAAAGAAAAAATTTACAAATTTAATAGTTTAATATCAGTATCTTTTCAAATAAAGCAACCAAACAGTTTTCCAATATGTGCGAACAAGTTCCTGCACACTTTTACATGTATAAATAGAATTGTTACTTTGATCAAGGAGCCGTTACTGATCCCATGCTCTGCACACACTATTCTTGAAATGGTGAGACATGAAATCTGCAATTGTTGGGTTGACAGTTGAAGTATATTATTTAGGAATCCGGTTATATGGTACAAATTTGAACACACCAATAATAACTCGTTCGATATTTATAAATGACGACATTACATTTTGTAAGATAGATTAAGGTCAATATTTTTATTTTATTAAATGCAACTTTATCTATAAGTAGCGTGACTATATGGTACGCAGTATAAATGCCAGGAGGTCGATAAGAATAGAAGACAACAAGCCTCGAAAAATGATTTCGTGTGAATTTGGTCGTGTTTCTTTGATCTGTTATATCAAGGGGCAATTCTGTAATTGCATAAAAACGACTACATTATAAGTTAAATGCTCTGGAATGAGGATCGTTTGATTGTATGCGATGTAAATTTAGTGAAAAGCTAAAGTAATTTTGCTATGACTAATTTTGTTGATGAAATCGGTCGGTCGAGATTCCCCCTTTTGTCTCAGAATCAACCACCACTCTGACGGAAGATATTCTCTTGGCTAAAAAATCTTTATTCTCTCAGCCACGATTTAACCACCTAATGTGTAAATAATTTGTGTATAACCAATACAAATGTGAATGGACACATGAACGGACATGATCCATCAAATGAAAATGCAGGCTTTTAAAATCTATAGCCTCTATCGTTTCACAAGCCAATTGTTGAAGTATTGACGACAATAGGGTTGTGATAAAAGGGTTCCAACTCTTACCTCAGCCGCACTGTAGGTCTGAACCTTCATTAAATTTGTCTTCCGGAAAGTAAATATCGCTACAGCTAGCACTATAAAATCAAAGATAAATCAAATTTAATTAACGTAGTCCCTGTGTGCTTAAGCAAATGTGCCCACTTATTTAGAGAGAGAGAGAGAAATGGGGTTTAACGTCCACTCGACACAAACTATGTCATTTCGGGACTAACATATGGTTTTAATTTTATTTTAATAATTTGCTTGCGAGTAGGGGTCTTTAGCAGTGGGAGGAAACCGGAGGACCCGGAGAAAACCCATGAGGTTGGACAGGCGACCCCACTCCTTGTCACGTACAACCGGGATTCGAAACCACGCCACTTGACTTAATGACAGGCCTTATGATACAGCGCGTGCGTGCTAACCATTCGGCCATCCACATTCGGCCATGCAAATTCTTAATAACTGGATATATCGAAACCAGTTTTACCAAATGAAGAAAATTGCACTAAAAACAACAGATGTTTGGATTTCTTAAATTTATTTTTGAACCCAAAATAGAATTTAGTAACCCTGAAAACGTTTTAGATATATTTTAAAAGCAATATCCACATGGAAAGTATCCCCAACATGGATTCTTTTTGACACAATCTTATATTTTTTTATTTCATTTTGGCGGCCATTATGGGGATTTTGAAATTATTTTTTAGATCAGAATTCAACCAAATGACATCAAAAACTATGTGAAAGACAACAGGCCAAAATAATGATTAATTTAAATTTAGACATGTTGGATTCCACTTTGAATTTCTGCCATGTTGGATTTTCAAAATTGATTTTTTAAATTCAGAGACACCACATAAAAGACACAGTACACTGAGAAGTAGTAATAGTGTTATTTGTACGTTTAGGGTATAGATATCTACCGATTTTAGTAAATTTGTATGAATATCGGTAAAGTTCTAATTATCGCAACAAATCTAATACGAAGAAATTAACTGAAAGGTGATTTAATTACCGCCAGGGGTGAAAATCTCTGCGATGGTGCGTTTTCTGTATTGGGTGTGTTAATTAATGGACGGGTTGAAAACGATTGACACAGTGTGTATATTCTTGGTTTGGTGAGTTTTCTCGAAAGCGTGTTATAACTGAACCAAAGGTGTTTCATCAAGGACTGGCAGGCTTATTCTGACATGTAGGTATTAAATCTAATTTACCGTGCGATTTTCTTGTTCAACCGTGTGTTTTACACAGATCGGTCTTTTTTAAGTGTATGTCTTTATACATGGATTTATACGTGCTGTAGTTACATATGTGCGTTCTTATACGTATTTCATTTCTTGATGAATACTACGTGTTTTATACTTCGTACCATAGTCGGGCTGCAGTCATTTATATATTTGTCTTTTTTTTGGTGGGTTTAATTTGTTTATATATTATCGTGCGTACCACTGAACTATAAATGCACATTATTTACCAATATCCGGACCAGCCTCCATTGATATCAGACTAACGAATCTGTTTCAAAAGCAAGTTTATAAATATAAAATGGCGCAATTAATGAAAACCTCTTGGTTTTGTCATATCTATATTTACTACATGTGGGCATTTTTATTTATAAATGTATTGTTTCTTACCTGGGTTGTAAATAGGACTGTCCAATAAAAGAATAATTTCCACATATACAACAAATGATAATTCACATATCAAATAACACATATGCAAATAGGGATATGCGCCTGCATCCACCCGCGGTGATATTGTCCATTGTCGAACTCAGGATAACCAGCTTGTCTTTGCATGCAAAATACAGAGCTATGTATGACCTAATATCCTTGAAACGTGTCCATATAACTGCTTGTGATTAGATCAAACGTTGTGTCACAAAGTTGTCTTTGCATGCAAAATACAGACCTTTGACTTAATATGGAAGTAGGGGCTTTATAACAACAGCTAAATTTAAACATGTGTTAATATCTCTATTGTTTCGATTGTATGAAATAGCTCTATTATTTTTCTCCCAGTACTAAAAAATTAGGGTTGAGTGGATCCAATTTTTATTATGTAATTTATATACGTGATGACAGATCAAGAGCACTGGCTCCATGTGTCGCCAATTTGTTCTATTTATAAAAGCATGCAATCACCTTTGGGAAATCAGTTAGTTTCCAGTCTAAAATGACTTTAAAATTTCTTTTATTATATCGGTCATTTTAATTGAAAAGATTTTCATAATATGCCATAGTAATTTGTGATTTTGTTTTTATTGTTAATTCTGTTTAATTGTGAACATTTCAAAATCTAAATATTTGACAAAAAGCAGATCTTTAATCATGGATACAGGTTAAGAATAGTGATATAGCATGATTTATTTGTTAAAGATCCGTTAATTAGACCACTGTCTTTATAAAGATAGATTTCTGCAACAACAACTTATTGCTGTAGTATTTCACTATACATGTATTTTAAGGTCATAGTTTTAAACTTAAATAGCTTCATTTGCAATATTTCTGGTCATATATCATGCTAAATTGAGTCCCACATCATAAAAGTCTTTAACTTTTAGAACTGTGCATAGCACATATTATGTCCAGAATTGGACGTTTTAACCATTTTTGACGATTGCGAATCAACTCGCAGCCAGCGCTTGACGGTAGCAAATCAACTCGCGGACCCATCATACTTGGCAACGGCATTAGTGAAATAAAGCGCGAGATCAATCAACACATTTCTATTGTTTTTATTTCTTAAATTAATGGTGATTGAGTAAAAAAATAAAATATCTAATGAAAAGGAATGTTATATTCGCTAATTATCGAATAAAAAACGTACGTTTCAACAAAGGATCTTCCTGTATTTACGTAATAGGTCAGAGGCTGAAAATTCACGAAGAATACATGTACTCGAGTTGAAATCAAGCATGTCGCCGCCATCTTGAATACGCTTTCAAACAGACGATAACTTACGGCTAATAATTCTAGACTTTGGGAAGCTAAATTGAATCAAAACTTTTTGGATTTAATACAAGCTACATAGAGGAATATTACATTGTCGAAGATTTCAACTATATATTTTTATTTTCGACACAATGAAGCAAAGAATACGACAATTCTGTCACATATCCAAAGAATGGCAGAAATGTTAAATGCCGATAGCAATGAAGTGACCGTCATTTGGGGTGATATTTCTTTTTAAAAGTTATAATTATATTTACTTTGAACACTGCTACCAACGCGAGGGACTATATTTGTGTTCTATTTAAAAAAAAAATTCTTAGGGGATGCTTATTCACGTTATTTTACCGTGGAACTGACTTTTCAACATTATTTATAGTAATATAATTGCTACTTTGTACAATTGAATTTTATATCATTGGAAAGAACACGACAATCTGTGCATTTTTGTAACAGAGTATTATAGAAAATATTTTTTTTGTTATTTGCAATTTTGTAGAGGGTATTAGGATTAACAATAATCCACTAATTGGCTTAGGAATATGGGCCCTGCTGATTTAATGAGCTTAGGGGTAGGGTAGCTAATCTTTTAATTGGCTCAGGGTTAAATGGGTTAATAAATTTGATAAAGAAAACTATTTCAGAACAAAAATAATTTCTAATACATCTTTGATGTAATTAATTGTTCGTTTTTTAAATAGTATCCACAACACATCTATATTAATTTACAGAGTCATATTTTGAATTTTAATAAACCAAGGGTCATTCAAAAAAATTATTGTTGTGTTCTGATAAATTAAGTGTACCTGGGCCCTGTTTCTCGAAATCTTAACTTAAGATAAAATCGTAAACAAGCCCCATATTTATAATACACATTCCCTAAAATTGTTGAGCTGCGGTGATGATTAATTTATTACCCCTAATATAGTATGGCAAATAGGAGTTGTTATATAACATCTAGGTAAACGGTGATCCAAGTTAGTGTTCAGCAAAGCGTTCTTCCCGCTCTGATTGGCAGTTTGTGTGGTAATATCACTAGGGACCGGGTATCATTCAGATTTGATGAAAAAAGGAAAGAAACTGAGCTTACCATCTATAATCTAATACACATATTCAGTTATAGATTGCCATGCAGAAAGTGTTAAATACCATCAAGATTCATCAAAATAATTCGCTTGTGCTTGGGGGTCTTTAGCAGTGGGAGGAAATTGGACAACCCGAAGAAAACCCACGAGGTTGAACAGGCGCCCCATACTTCTTGTCACGTACAACCAGGGAATCGAAACCATGCCAATTGACTCAATGACAGACTTTATGATACAGTGCGCACATGCTAACCATTCAGCCATCCAACGCTCCTAATTATGAAGGCATATGCATATCAATAATGTAATAAAAAAATAATGGTATTGCTTTTATTTTTGTCGTGTCTATTTTACTTGTGTGTTTGAACATTACTCTCATTATAATATAATGGCTTGGGCTGGGTTTTTTTCATTTGAGATGCCAAACGAAATTTCCTATGAGAAACAAAATAAATTGTATACAAGTTGATAAAATATCAAGCTTTATTCAAATGAGATGATAGAGAAGTAAAACATACATTTATGTCATTGCAATAAGACCAACACTGAATAGACCACAGTATTCACACACATAAAAAAATTGTCTTTTTTGGTGTACTTTGTCATCCTGGAATAAACTGTCACAGGCAAAAATAGTCACACTCCATCCAACTATTTCAGCTAATCCATTAACAGTGTCGCCTTTTTGTCTGAGAACAGTGTAGCTTTTCGGTCTGAGATCAAAGAGCAATTTCGTTTGAAAAGCGTGCTCTCCGGATAGTATAAGTTCTATAATAAGGATGTGACTGAATCCACTGTACCTGTGATTTATCAGTGCCGTGGAGTATAGTAATAAAGCTATTTCATACAATCGTATGTTTAAATTTAGCTCTTCTTGTAAAACCCATATATCCATAGGTCGTCCTGGAGGCGGATGTGAGTCCCTATTATTAGACATGATTAGAGTTATTTGGTATGTGATTTATCTATTGTTATATAGTGATGAAATTCTGTTTCCTTGGATAGGCCTATTTACGACACAGGTAAGAAATACATTTATAAAATATAACGGCAACGAAACTTACAGGTTTTATGTTTATAATTGTGCTTTCAAAACAGATTAGAGCATCTGATATCAATAGAGATTAAAATATATCGGGTAATCAAATGGAACCCACAAAAAGACAAGAAATATAAATATCTGCAGCCAGACAATGGTACGCTGTATAAAACACGTAGTATTTATCAACAAATGAAATACACATAGATTAAAGAAGGCACGCATATGTAACTACAGCACATATAAATCCATGTATAAAGACCTACCCTTAACAAAGACCGATCTGCGTAAAACACATGGTCGATAAGAAATCGCACGGTAAATCTAGATTTGACACCTATGCGTCAGATTAAGCCTGCTAGTCCTTGATAAGACACTTTTGGTGCAGTTATAACATGCTATCGAGAAAACTCACCAAAAAAAGAATACACACCGTGTCATTTGTTTTTAACCTGTTTGTTAATTAACGCACCTAGTACAGAAAACACACTGTCACAGAGATTTTCACCCCCAGCCACCCCTGTTAATTAACACACCGTATCAACAGATTTTAGCCTCTTCGTATTAGATTTGTTGCAATAATCGGAATTTTACTGATATTTATACAAATTTACCAAAATCGGTAGATATGTATACACTAAACGTACAAATAAAACTCTTACTACTTATCAGTGGTAGAAGTGACTGGTTATATACAGTGACAACGCCATTTTATTACCAAATTTGGCAGCCATTTTGAAAAATTGATCGGCACTACGTGCAAAATAATTTTTTTTTATTGTTTTGGTCAAATTTGTGATTAACTAGTCCTGCCTATGTGCCAATATTATTTATGCAAATCTAAGCATATTTCATTAAACATGATCTGTAATTCCATTGATAACTTTGCTAATAATCATCCATTTATTTCACTTGTAATAATTTGATTGTTAAAGCATTACATACCTGATAGAATTTCTAGAGAGTTGAATGCTAAAATCCTGTCCCATAGAATCAAAACCTGATCACTTGCTAGAAAGCCAGAAAATGCTCTCATTAACCATTTAAATGCTATCTTTAACCTTAAATGAACCAATAGAAGAACATTAAGGCATATGATATATTTCCTCCCGCAAAGGAAACTTAATTGGATAACTAAATTACCGACCATTTTCCCGTCTCAAGGATAGATTTAAAAACTTAGATTATAATATTTGTGATGAAAATACTTTGATTACAAGAAACTGTTATAAGAAACTCGATCATAATTTTCAAAATAAAAAAAGTCTTATAAAAAAATCAAAATTTAAAAAATACCCAGAAATTATTTTGAATGAATTGTATTCTATATGCCAATGCCATACTTTTGATGAAGTATCCTGTGTAGCTTGTGTACACAACCTAGCGGTTGCCAGGCAGGATACGCCCACATTTTGCAAGAGATAGATAGAGAACAATAATCCAGAAAGTTATGGTCTGAAATGCGCAAATATAAAAAGAGACTGAGGTCTTTGGGATATAAAGATATGTTTTATCAGAATCGGATAAAAATTGTGACCTCTAGGGGGTCGACAACCTTTGTATTGCATACTTTTACACAATTTGCGTATAAAGAGCGGCCATTTTGTTGGGCAGTTTCATTTCGATTTTCCTGAAATTCAAATTCAACCTTCATTATGGTGGAATGGTGAAATATTTAAACGGTTTTTAAAATCGGAAAATTTTTTTTTTACCTCTAGAGAATCTGCAAGCTACAAATGCCATTTTACGAACAATCAGGAGCCATAATCAGGAAGTTAAGTCTGGGTATTCACGATTATCAAAAGGATCCAAGATCTTAGTATGTAATGGTGTTATATTCACACATTTTTTTTAAATCAGATAAAAATCAAGACAACAAGCTAAAAACGTGATTTTTTGTTCAATCAAGGGCCATAATTCAGGAAGTTACGATCCGATACGCGCGGATATAGAAAGGTACCAAGATCTTTGGGTTATATACTTATATTTCAAGTTTCATCAAAATCAGAAGAAAATTGTGACCTCTAGAGGGTCCACAACATTGATATACCATATTTTTAAGCTAATTGTGTACGAGGGGCGGCCATTTTGTCCTGCAGTTATGGTCCGATTTTCACGAAATTCGAACTCAACCAAAATTACGGTGTAACAGTGATATATTCGAACGATTTATTAAATGGGATAATAATTGTGACCTCCATAGGGACCACAAGCTAAAAAAGGCTATTTTTCGGACAATCAGGGGCCATAATTCAGAAAGTTACGATCCGATATGCGCAAATATCAAAAGGAACCGAGATCTTTCGGTTATAAACATGCATTTCAAGTTTCATCAAAATTAAATTAATATTGTGACCTCTACAGAGTCCACAACCTTGATATACCATATTTTTACACTATTCGCGTACAAACGGTGGCCATTTTATCCAGCAATTTTGATCCAATTTTCACGAAATTCGAACTGAACCTTCATTACGGTGCAACTGTGATATAATCAAACGTTTTTTTAAATCGGGTAATAATTGTGACCTCCAGAGGGACCACAAGCTAATAAAGGCGATTTTTCGTGCAATCAGGGGCCATAATTCAGGAAGTTAGGTTCCGATGAGCGCAAATATCGAAAGGAACCAAGATCTTTGGGTTATAAACATGCATGTCAAGTTTCATCAAAATCGGTTCAAAATTGTGACCTCTATAGGGTCCACAAGCTAAAAACGTGACTTTTCGTACAATCAGGGGCCATAATCCATGAAGTTTCGATCTGATACATGCCAATATCGAAAGCAGATGAGATCTTCTGGGGATAAACCTATATTTCAAGTTTCGTCAAAATCGGATAAGAATTGTGACCTGTAGAGAGTCCACAAACAATTGTGGACGGCCAGACCGACGTCTGGACATACAGAAGGACAGGGGCGACGACCATATACATCCACATGAAATTGTGGGTGTATAAATATCAACAGCTAAAAAACTTTGTGTCCTCAAATTGTACACTCTTTGAAAAAATCAACAGCTAAAAAAATTTGTGTCCTCAATCCTCAATATTACGATGTTATAAACGATTTGATAAATAGTAAATTTTTACCTATGCATTCAATGCAACCTCATAAAGTATGAAAGAAAAAACCTGATATGTTATGTAAAATCCTTTTTACAGATCAACATATACAAGACATTGGATTGAACAGAATCTTTAGAGACTGATAGTAATTAAATCTATACCAGATACTATTCATAAAATTTCACCCACAGTAGTATACAAATTTTACCCGCAATTTGTAATAAAATATTTAACTACCATGAAACTATTGAAAACCTTAACTTGCATGATTTTATTGAGAATTACGATAATACAACATGACAATGCGCCAACTCTTCTTTTAAAGATAAGTTTCATGACCATATACTGACAGGAAACTTTGATATTGTTAAAGATAAAAATCTTAAAAACCTTTTCCACTTTGGACCACAATTTCGAGAACAACCAAGTAAAACTAAATTCAAAAAGTTACATAAAAATCTAAAATCTCAAATCAGGGAATGTATTTGGTCTGATAAATTTCGTGCACCTCTAGAATCTTTTGGAGAATAGAAAAACACGGTTTTTGATCTCTTGTCAAAGAGAATCAAGTATATAAAACAAATCCCAAGACCCAAGGTTCTAAACAACAATACATCTGCAGCTGAATGCCTTGCTACTTAAGACAGCCTTGTTTTAACGCCTGTTGATAAGGTTAACAATAATATTGCTTTTACCTGTAAAAAATACTATCTTAGGAATATTCTTACTGAAGTTGGACTTTGGCCCAACACCAAAAATGACAATTATAAATGCATTATGGATTTAACTAAACTGGATATTTAACATAATCAAAAAACAAAACAAAATTTGAACTCACAATATAATGGAACATTTTTTAAAATCGGATAAAAATTGTGACCTCTAGAGGATCCCCATGCTAAAAATGTGATTTTTCGTATCGAAATGAACCAAGATCTTTGGGATATTAACATATATTATAAGTTTCATTAAAATCCCACAGGAATTTAAGGTCTGAAATGTGTGAATATCGAAAGGGACTGAGATCTTTGGGATATAAAAATATATTTTTAGTTTCATAGAAATCCAACAAAAATTGTGACCTAGAGGGTCTGCAACATTGTTATTACATATTTTTACAATATCTGCCTACAGGGATTGGCCATTTTGTCTGTCAGAAACTGTCCGATTTTCACGAAATTCAATCTCAACTGTCATTATGGTGTAACGGTGATATTCGAACGTTTTTTTTAAATTGGATAAAAATTGTGACCTCTAGAGGGACCACAAGCTAAAAACGTGATTTTTTGTACTATCAGGGGCCATAATCCAGGAAGTTACGGTCCGATATGCGTGAATATTGAAAGGAATCAAGATCTTTGGGTAAACATATATTTCAAGTTGCATCAAAATCGGATCAAAATTGGGACCTCTAGTGTGGCCACAACCTAAAAACTTGATTTTTGTACAATCAGGGGGCCATAATCCAGGAAGTTTCAGTAAGATATGCGCAAATATCGAAAGGAACCGACAACACTGGGAGATAAACTTACATTTCAAGTTTCATCAAATCAGATAAAAATTGTGACCCGTAGAGTTCCACAGACCGACCGACTGAGAAATAGAGAGAAATGGGGTTTAACGTCCAGTCGACACTAACTGTCCACAAGGTTGGACATGCAACCCTACTCCTTGTCATGTACAACCAGGGAATCTAAACTATGCCAGTTGACTCAATGACAACCTATGATACCATGCGCACATGCTAACCATTCTGCTTCGAGAATTGATTGAATCTCAGACTCATGTCTCCGAGCATTTATTTTCGAATTTTTATTGGTATTTGGGTCACCTTTTCTCCGGGTCCTTCGGTTCCCTCCCTCTGCTAAAGATTCCTACGCACAAGTGAATTATTGAAATAAAATTGAACCATGTGTTAGTCCCGAAATTACCTAGTTTGTGCGAGAGGAGTTAAATCCTCCCTCTCTCTCACTTTAGATGTAAATAACGGAAATTGCATTGAAATAATGCCTATCAATTTCATACGATTGGATGACAAATTAAGGTAACCAGTGCAGATGTGTTCACTTTATTGGATGATGCCAGTGGAGACAGTAGACATGAATAAGATATATAATTACTTAAAGTCTAATCTAAAATCATAAACCCTGATTACTCAAATTGTTTTATTCTGTTATTTCTAATAATCTTCTGTTTTAAAAAATCTCATTATTTGTACATCATATAATTTATCAGGTTATCCATACTCCTTGCAGTGTTTCGTTTGATTAGATCTAATTCTACTTAACACTGCTCTAATGGAAGCAAATTTCTGTTCCAAATTATGACTGGTAAATAGTCCGATTAACAACCAATAGCTAACTGCATAACAATATCATTACGCTTTAAACAGAGCTCCAAATTAGACTAAATATGTTTACATGACGTTACGTCATGACTCACAATTTTATTCCAACCAATTAACCAGTGCATTGCAGAATATTGCAGCAAAACTAATTGCGTGACAAACAAGGTTATAAAAATGGATACAATGTAAACAATAATGTTTGGAGACGAACAATACTTTCACCGTTTTTAATACCTTAAATCACTGTCCAAAGTTTTAAACGAAGGGCTGTCATGTTGCTGTACGTGTTTGAGTTAGATTTGTTTGAATGGGAAGAATAGACACACTCTCTCAAAAGCTCAAGTATCAGAAGCCTATCCAGCAATGACCAGAGTGGGATTTCTCGGGCCATTGCTTCAGGAATATGCAAGTTATCAGGAGAAAGATTTTTTAAGACATTCGTCAGATTTATTCATTTTATAGAAAATGGATGCCTCGTTGCCAAAAATATTAGACGAGGGCATGATCTTCATTAATTTATTTCCAGCAATTTGTTGTGAGGCATGGCAGAACTCGAACATGAAGGATTAAAGTCATCTCGACACTTAAGTAAATTTTTCAAATCTACTTTCTATACTGGAAATAGGGAACTTCCAAAACATGGATAAGGG